ATCTAATGTGGTTGGAAAAAGACAAATTTTGATCAATATATACACCAAGATCTTCAATTGTGTTACTTCGTGATAGTGAAATGGTATCTACTCGATAAATTCACTCGATGACTGGCATTTTTCTACTATAAGACACTACTTTACATTTGGATGCATTGAGATATAGTTAACTTTACACCAAGTCTGTATGTTTTCTAACTGTTGTTGCAATATATTACAGTCTTCGAGAGTTTCCACAGGTAAATATATTTTCAAATCATCTGCAAAAAATAACTTATTACAATCGACATAATAACTGAGGTCATTAATAAATAATAAGAACAGAAGTGGTTCCAGATTCGACCCCTGAGGTACTCCAGATGAAGGATTGTAATAAAAAAATCATAGCTGTTATAAGATACAAACTGTTTGCGTTGAAGTAAGGAGGATTTAATGAAAAGTACTGCTGAATTATGGAAACCAAATTGAAGAAGGATCATGTGATCAAGTCGATCAAATGCTTTAGCAAAATCAGTATATATCACATCAACTTGACCACGATTATCTAAGACATCACTAACATTTTGGGTCAATACAATTAAATTTGTTATGGTGGATCTGTTTTACATAAATCCATGTTGTTGCGGAGATATGATATTACGAAGTGAGGAATGTACGCGATTGTAGATGACAATTTCGAGAAGTTTTGCAAAGTTCGATAGGATTGAGATAATCATATTAATAAACAAAAAAATCCCGTTTACTCACAAAATGTTAAAAATAGGTCTGGTCAATTGTATCCAGGTACAATTGAAAAATGTGTCAATATTTTAGCAATTTATAGACCTCCCTCCACGGATGAACTTGACTTTCTAAATAATTTTGAAACTTTCTTGAACTCTGAAGATTATCGTAGATATGAACATGCTTCCATTATAGGTGATATCAATCTCAATATTCTCAATACTTGTCCACAAACTGACTATTATCTAAATTTACCATCTGCAAATGGTTTCATTTCTCTCATAAATAAAATGACTAGAGTTACAAATAAAACTGCATCATGACTAGACCATATTTTTTTTAGAAATGAAAGTAATCGTATGCATGATCTACATCCAGCCCTTCTAAAAGTAGCAATAACAGATCATTATCCAGTATTAGTAGCATTGAGTAGTATTGAAAAGAAGGAAAATCACCCATGTCCAAATGTTCATAAGAAATTGAATGAACAGAAATTACTGGTATTACAAAATTAATGTTGGGATGAAATATATGTAAACTCAGATCCAAATGAAGCTTTTGATATATTTTTTAACATATATGAGAGTTTAGTCAAATACGCGACAATAACACTTACATGGAAAAAAAGTAGAAAAAAGAAACCATGGATATCACAGGGCGATAAAGAAACGAGACAAATCATTTCATTTATACATAAAAAATCCATTAGATAATGACAAAAAAATTGAATATGTAAGTTATAGAAACCATCTGAACAAATTAATTAAAAAAACTAAGCAAGACTTTTTTAATTCAGAAATCTGGAAAGCTGAAAAAGCACCTAAAAGATTGTGGGGAGTTATAAATGATTACACGAATAATTATCGAAATAGTCACGAAAATATCAGGAAAATAAAATTAAATGACAATTCTGAAATTACAGATTCACTTGCAATAGCTGAGCAAATAAATAATTATTTTTCACATGTAGGGCAACAATTAACAGAAAAAATCACATATCCAATTAAAGAGCAAAAATTTGAATATTTGAATAAATCTTTTTTCTCAAAACCAACTGATAAAGAGGAACTGAGAGGTATGTGTTTGACCTTAAAAAAGGGGAAAGCACCTGGACAGGATAATATAAAAAATGAAATAATCAAACTTTCATCTGATTATACAGGGTGTTCCTTAAACACATGCTAATATTTAAGGAGGTAATTCTTAGACCCATTTTAAGAAAAAACTTCCTATGGACGTATGTCCTAAACGCCTTAACTTTTGAGATACAGGGTGGCAACGTTTTCAAAAATAATCAGTTTTTTAATAATAACTGAGATAATTTTGTAGACATCTTTGGCNGTCAGTTAAAAGCTATCGTTAAAATATTCATCCAAAGTATAATAGGGTCTATCAAACAGAAATTGTTTGACTAACTTCCTGAATTGGAAGTCATTTATATTGGCCGATCTTATGTCCATAGGCAAATGATTGTACATTTTTCCACTGTTGTAAAATATGGAGTCTCTGGTGATGTTTTTAGTTGGCACAGTGAGTTTCAGAGTGTGTCTGCTGTTTCGGGTGTTATAATGAGAAGAGGATGCAGCAACATTTAATATATGCTTGTTTATTAAACACACAGATTCCAGTTTAAATAATGCAGTTACCGTTAGAATATTATGTTTTTTGAAGAAGGTTCTACAGGAGTATCTTGGTTTAAGGTTTCCTATATAACTTATTGCCCTTTTCTAAATGATAATAAATTTGTTTTAGTTAAGCTAAAAGATAAAATGTTTGAATCACACTACTCTCTAACTTTTTTCAAGTAGGCAGAGATTATTTTGTGCAACTCACAAGTGTTTTCATTATTCCAAAGTGTGGTAGTGTCATCTGCAAATAAGGTGAACTTCCATGAAATATTAAGCTTAGTGAGGTCATTAATATATAATAAGAAAAGAATGGGACCTAACACAGAACCTTGTGGGACTCCAGAAATAACAAGGACAGCGAAACAAAAATTTTGTGAAAATTCAATATTTTTTTCTCCCACTAACCACTTAGAAGAAATAAGATTAATAAAACAACTGAGAAATGGAAAGGCGCCTGATAATGCAGAAACTATGAAAATAGTGGCAGAATTTATTGCTAAACCCATTACATTTATATTCAATAGGATGGCAGAGTTGGACATTACCCATCTTGTCTTAAATCATCTACAGTCATTCCAATATATAAGAAAGGTAATCTAATAGAACCAGTAAACTTCCGACCGATATCCCTAATTACTAATTTCAGTAAAATTTTTTAAAAACTACTGAAAATTAGGTTTAACTCCTTCTTCAAGAAGAATAATACGCTATCAAGTTCACACTTTGAATTTCAGGATGGGAAATGTACGCAGGATGCTTTAATTCAGTTAACTAAATACATTTACAAGGCCATGGATACCAACACATCTTCTATAGGAGTATTCATCGACCTATCAAAGTCACTTGATACGGAAGTCACAATATTTTGTTATCTACCTTAGAAAACATTGGCATAAGAGGGAATGCCCTGAAGCTTAATCATAACTTACCTAAAGCAAAAAATTCAAGTTGTTAAAATGAAAAATACATTCAACAGAAAAGAAACAATTAGAGTGCGGAGTGCCTCAAGGGACAGTACTAGACCCAATTTTGGAGATCTGGAGGTAATAAAAGATTGGTCTGATTTCAGAAAATTAACCTTTAATATTGTAAAAACTGTTTTTGTACCAATTTGAAGCTAGCCGTCTTTCCTCCCAGATTTCAATTCCTTGACAATCCACAACCAACTGCAAATCACGTCTGTAACTCACCTAAAGTATCTTGGAGTCATAATCGACTCTCGTCTAAGATGGAATCACCAGGTTGATTACATCGTAAGAAAAGTAAGGTGTATATTACATAAGTTTCTCTTCTTTCAGGACATACTAGACCTCAGCCATAAAAAACTTTATATCATAGCCTACTACCTAGTGCAAAGCCACATAACATATTGCATGGCGGTTGGGAAGTCCACTTGAAGTCATTCAAAGAAGATTCCTAAAATTAATGTTTAATAAAAACACGAGATATGCAACCGAAACATATAAAAAATCAAGTATTCTGAATGCTAGACAACTAATTTATAAATCTCTGCTACTTAAACAATACAACGAAAAGAGTGACCGGTGGTTCTCTCACTAAATCGACCGCCGTGTTAGTCGGTGGTTCAAGCCGCAGGCTGAACGATCGATTTTGACTTGCTATCGTCCAACCCGTGTTAGGAAAAACACACCTTAAAAGGTAAAACCTCGTAAGTCCTCAGCTCGCACAAGTTTCGACTTCTGAGGGGTGCGACAGCTGGTTAACGGAAGAATATTTTAAACAAAATAACACTTATGTATACGACGAGAAATAAAAACTGGTATATAACACCTCTTTTTGCAAAGTCGTTCGAGTTTCTGGGACCGACAGTATTCTATAGTTTACCACCTCATATTCAAAGGTCCAACTCGTATGTTCTATACAAAAATTTAGTCTCTAAACATAACGTGCATGAACTTGATATGTATTTCATTTTATAATTGCATACCCGCTCACAAGGATTCATTCCTTCTGTGGATTATTTAATAATCATTCTAATGCTTTACCAGTATTTCGTGTACCGCTCATTGTATGTATTTCGATCGAGTAATATCACTTACAATGATCACTTATCCCACGGTGTGGGGTAAGTGATCACTTACCCCACGGTGTGGGGTAAGTGATCCTTGATCCCGAGAATTGGGTCCGAGAATCATGATCCCTGAGTAAGCGCAGTGAGTGAATGATAGCCTTCTGCGTCTGTCCGAATAATTTTCCTTTTTCTTTAGGGTCCGTGAAAACAAGCGATACTATGTATACTTGATAAAGGGAAAAAATTCGTGGATTCCTAATCATTTGAAAAAATATTGAAACTACTTTTTCTATCGAAATGAAAAAATGTGTGAATGAAACCACCAGAAAATTTCATTTTGTATATATAAATAGCGAGCTATTATTCAATTTGTTTGAAAAAGGAAATGGACTAATAATGTTTTTCGATGTATATGGCATCGACTACTATGGTGATCAGGTTCATGTTCTGGGTAGGTTATATTAATAACTCCAGGAGCCACATAGGATCATCATGGCTATTCATGGTCCCGTCAGCCATGTACTAATGATAAATACTTATCCCAGATATCAATCATTGCTACAGAAAGCGAATGAGTAAATTATATTTTCATAATGTAGAATATATTCTTTTTTCAGATTGAAAAAGAGGATTTCAACAATTTCGATTATATATTTGGTATGGACGAAGATAATATTGCAGATTTGAAACAATACGCCCCAGCTGATAGTAAGGCAAAAATACTACTTTTGGGAGATTTCGATCCTGAAGGCAAACTAATTATAAGGGATCCATATTATGTAAGTAACCAATAGAACAGAGCATACCAACTAACTGGTATAAGTCTTGGTGTGATTCAAATTTTATAGCACTCAATATAGGCAAAAGTAATGTTTTTTTTTTAAAATGCAATCTGGACGATTTGCCTTTGGCAAATGGAACTATTGAAAATAAAGATTGCACCAAGTTTCTAGATCACTATATCGACAAAGCTTGAAATTTGAGAATGACATAAAAACCTGATAATCAAGATCACTTTGGTGTGCTATGCAATGATAGTTATTTCCAGAGAACTTGGGAGTTCTACAGCAAGAACTGCTTATCGTGCTCCAATAGTGTCGGTATTCAAAGAAAGAGGCGTATTAACAGTTGTAGTCCTCTTCATTTTAGAAACTGCCTTTTTAAAAAACATTTCTTGAGGTATGACAATTGTTTCAAATCAATACCCGCCTGAGTAACAAAAATAATCTGAAACTACCTTTACATTCCTCCACGTTAATCAAGGATTACTTTTTTTATAATGGTGTGAAAATGTACATCCATTTGCCTGAATGCCTCAAAGAAGCAAATCAGAACATGAAATAATTCCAGAAAAACGTTGAACAATTTTCAATTAGCATGCCTTATAGTTTGCATGAATTCAACAACGAACAATTCTGATCTGAAGTTTATTGTATAAATTGTGTTTTTAGTATGTATGTGTTTTTATATATTCATATTTTTACTGTACCTAACAACCATTGTTCTCAGTATTGATTTTATATTCATGTTAAGTGTTGAGTATCAATGTACGTGGACTGAATTTCCTGTGATATGAATTTGAATGCTGTCCATTTGCGTGATTTTGGTAAATTCAGAGACCGAGTATCACAGTATGTAATAATATCACCATATGAATAATAATAATTGAATACAAACAAAACACTTGGGTGAGAAAAATAATAACGATAATACATTGAAATTAGAGGTGAAGAAGACGGACCATTACGTGTGTTTAATGGAAAGCTTTGTCAACAGGATTTTTTGTATCTTGGGTCAATACAGTATATCTACTTTATTATTATCAAATTCTCTAAATGACTGTGGAAAATTAAATCGGCACTGAAAACAAAACAAGAAACAAATCCAGTTGTAATTGATCAGTTGTGCCAAATATTATTACAGTATCCCTGAGTCAATAATAAAACACTTCTAATTTCGGCGGTAATTGGTCTATTGATAACATATATGCAAATTATCACGTCATTTATATTGTATGATTCCATTGGGTATACCACATTCTTCAGATATCTAAAATATTCAGTAGTGCAAGATCGATCGATCTTGCTGGATATACAATTCAACTGACTATCTATTTTGTACCATTCAGTGGGTAGCCAGGCGGTTCGACGTGGGTGCTTTGTTCACCCACTCGAATTGACTGCCGTGTTGGTCGGTGGTTCAAGCCCTAGTCTGAACGATCGATTTTCACCTGCTATCGTCAACCCGTGTTAGGAATCATACGTTAAAAGGTGAGACCTTGTTAATCCTTAGCTCGCACAAGTTTCGACTTGTCGTTCGTAGGGATGCGACAGCTGGTTAACAGAAAACAGATTTTTTTAAACATAGATTCGAATTTGAACAACCGTAAAAATAAGTCTATTTTCTATTGACAGCCATTGTAATGTTCCCAACATCAATGATATTGGTGTATATCTGTTACATCTCAAAGTGATTCTCATTGCACGATTTTGAAGTTTTTGTAGTGATCTCATTTTATTGAGGTCAAAACCATACAATAAGGTCGGGCAATATTCGAAGTGAGGTTTGATAATTGTATTATATACGGTAATTCTTGAGCTCATACTCAAATGCTGAGATACCCTCGAAAAAAAATATAGTTTTTTGAGTATTTTTTTCTGAATATAATTGAAATGACCATTCAACGTTAAGTGGTTGTCAAGCATAAACCCTGAGTATCCCTGAGTCAATAATAAAACACTTCTAATTTCGGCGGTAATTGGTCTATTGATAACATACATGCAAATTATCACGTCATTTATATTGTATGATTCCATTGGGTATATCACATTCTTCAGATATCTAAAATGTTCAGTAGTGCAAGATCGATCGATCTTGCTGGATATACAATTTCAGTATCTCTACTCTCTAGAATACTTCGTGTTGTTGGAATTCCTTCTCGGATACTCCAGAAGATGAATTATTCGTAATAATAAATAATACTCACCCGATCAACTAGTACAAAACAAAACGAATAGCGTGACTAGGAGGGGGAGAGAAATCATCTCTCCCTTCGGTGCCGACATCGGAAGATGAAATACTCCGTTCATGAAAAGCGAGGTAGAAGTCCCGTCAACCGACCCTCGCGAACTAGGGGTCAACGTCAATTAAGGGATAGCCTTATGTATTGTTACCTAAGTGGTGAACCCACATAGCGAGAAAATATGTCCTGTGGTGTAAAAAAACGGGGCACGTCCCCTTATCTGTCTAGAGGCTGAGGAATGAATTTGCAAGAAATGATGTATATTGTAAGGCTATGTATGTATTGGCAAGGCTATGCACCTCCTCTCCAGCCTGCTAATTGCTAGAACTGGCAGAAGTACCATCCATTCGCACGTTTTAGGATGAGAATCGAAATATCACTTGGAAACACACAAGGCGCTCTTCGCTCTTTAGAGTTAGGTCCCTAGAACCACACATAACTGACTTAATTAGATTCCGTTGCCAATATTGTTGCAACAAAAGAGGTGGAATTCTGTCAAATTAACACCGCCGACTACCACACCTTTCAGTCGCTTTCCGAACCAGAAGAACGAAATTTTGGCCTTGCATTTCGAAAGATTTTAAGACAATAAACAAGTTGGAAGATAAGATCGAGCCGGCGACATAGTAAGTTTCTCGTATCCAACGTGTAATGGATAAGAGGGCGGCCAATAGGCTTTTCACGTCCGCTGTGTGGTAATTACTCAGTAAACTCCGAGTGTTCATCGCACTCCGAGACACCAAGGCTGAAAATTGAAACGTTTCTAGAGAGTTTTGACAGCACAATGAACTACACAATCCGGTAACTCCGGATGAAGATAGGCTCTACTACCGAGCACCTTTGGTCAGACTTTTAAACTAATGTCTGAGATGAGAGCAGGAGATTTCGAATTGGTTTGTCGAGAAGTGTAGGTACCGTTATTTACGCCAAAAACAGGTTTTTCGAAACCAAAGAATTATAGACCGATAACAGGCTTGAATTCATACCATAAATTCGTACCACTACCACAATTCGATATATGAGCAGAGAAGCTCGCTTGATGCTTCTAATGCTTCTCATAATCTGCGCATTTCTTCACAGAGTATGCATTAGGATGAAAGAGAATAGGAACTAGCCGATGTATATACTAAGAAATTATTATTGCAACTGAGCATTCTCATCGTTTTCAAATGCACATCTAGAGCAAGATCATATCGAAATTTGGAAATGTCTTTCTACATTTTGCTAACTGTACCTGCAAGATCGTTCCAAAATGTTGACTATTTGAAGAGATTAATGAAAACAAATTGTGCATTGTATAACACGTAATAGTATAAAGGATACTATCAAAAAAAAATCCAAAGAGTTACCGGTTTGGAAAGGGTAGGTGGTGATGTGGAATATTTGCTGCTTCTTTGAAAATGTCAATGAAGAAAACTAACTACAGGGATGTTGATCTGTTTGGAAGGCACAATAGTGCTGTATTTTTCTATCATCAATATTAATTATGGGACAAAACTAGATACATGTGTAATTTTTAAGTTCTGTAGTGTATATTTTTTTCAGGATTCTGGATCAGATGGTTTTGAAGTTTGCTATCAACAGTGTATGCGATCCTGCAAGGCATTCTTGGAACAATTATGATAAAGGCGTTTTGTGACATAGTAAATAGGGAAAGACCAGACTATAATTATTTATCAACTCTCTAATGATCATAACTTTACTTTGTATGGATATCAAACTTCACTTACGTATTCAAATATCTTGATAATAGGTACATTGATAATCATTGCTATCGAATAAGCAATTGAGGAATAAATCAAGTAAACATGTAAATTCATAGTTATTCAAGAGCTCTGGATAAGGCATTTGTATGGTTGTGACATGTTCAATAAAGTGCTTTGGTTGAAATTAAGCATTCATTATTTCAAATATCTTGGTTGCACTTTTATTAAGGTTCAACTCATTAAATGACAACTGTATTCAACAACACAAAAAGACAACTCGACACACACACGCACACTAGTACTATACCTTGGATAACACATTAGACCAAACTAGTACAATTATTTCATTTCACCACATTTCCTTCTCATTTGCTATCACTCGTGAGTAAAACCAACTACTCAACGCTTTCGGAAGCTCAAATAACCAAAACAAAATGTTCTCATTTCTTTCATTAGTGATTAATATAGTATTAGCCAAGTATATAAATTCGCTTCTATTTCAGCACACATTAACATAGAAAAAACAGACCCGATAAAAATTAAAACTAAAAAAACCGGTAATTCCTGAAAATATATAATACAGTTTACATTATGAACTCAACCCAACGGGTCATTTCTTGAACCAAAAAAATATATTGTCATATTTTTGTATATGCAATGCAAATCTACATACCCCACCTGTCTCAACTCAATAAAGTGTTACACACTTGATGTTCTTGTTATCACAATTCAGTAGGTTTTGGAACATCTTTTTCTATTAGTTTGAGTATGAGGTCGAATAAAATTCCATTCTTTTGATTCAGTTTTCAAAATTGGTCAACTAGTTTTGGTAGTCTATCCATTACAAACTAAAAATTAAATCTTTTCTTTTCATAACAATGGTTTGGATTAATTCGTCTTTTGAAAATACATTTTCTCTTCCCATATTTTCAATAATTATGTGGTGAATAAGTAGTTTTTGACTTTACCCATCATAAACAAACACATCTTTTTTTATAATTTCAGTTTAGATGTATGCTTTGGTAGGTCCTGTGATGTGATTTTTTACAAAGACATTAAAGTTGGCAATAAATACATTTTTTCCATGAAATTGGAGCTTTGTCTCTCATACTCTAGAATTCTTTTGGCTAATAAACTTTTCATCGCCAGTTTTTAAGAGAGTAAAAGTTTCTTATTCGCTTTATTCAGCGACAAACAAGGCCCAGTCAAGCTTATATTACATGAAATTGGTTTATACTTAAAATCTGTTCAAAATCTGTTTTTCCGTTAACCAGCTGTCACACCCATACGAACGACAACCCTCAGAAGTCGAAACTTGTGCGAGCTAAGGATTAACGAGGTCTTACCTTTTAACGTGTGATTCCTAACACGGGTTGGACGATAGCAAGTGAAGATCGATCGTTCAGACTAGGGCTTGAACCACCGACCAACACGGCAGTCAATTCGAGTGAGTGAACAAATCACCCACACCGAACCGCTTGGCTACCGACCGACCAAACATACATACATACATACATACATACATACAACATACATACTTATAATTGACGTATGTTCTGTTAAAATGTTTTTGGAAAAATTGCATTTAAAAAAGTTGTTTCTTATGGAATTTTAGTCTTATACCAAATTCTATCAAGCTGAGACTTAATTAGATTTTTTGCTATGTATATCAGAGAATTTAATTTGGAAACAAAACGATGCGCGTCGGGATACCGTAATTTTTATTCTGGTATTTTCAATTGATCGATAATGACATCGAAAACCTTTTCAAAAGTTGAGAATTGTGTGTTGTCAATGAAACCCTCCTAAAATAGAAAAAGCAGCGGCTGATACCAAAAATGGTCGACAGTCTGATAAAGACGTTAGAATTTCAGTACGAAATCGAAAATCAAACAGAAGTATCTTCAATTCCTACTTTATTCATTAGGTTCATGAAGAAAATCAAACATGGACTTTGTGTAAAATTCCTCCAGGAAAGAAAGCAATTCAAAGCAAATGGAGTTTCAAAACGAAATTGGTGCAACTGGGAAAGTTGAAAAATAAAAGGGCATTCACAGATAGACGTTTCTGACTTTGAAGATACTTTTTCACCAGTTGTGAAGTACATTTTTATCTGACTTTTACTTGCCTCAGCTGCTAAATATGATCAAGTAACTCAAGTAACTCTACAAAAGAAAACATGAAAAATTCAAAGTGGTACAGTGTTGAGATGAGACAAGTTTGTGAATAAAGTTCTAACATGTTTTTAGTCAATATAAAAAGTAACGATGGATATTACTGAAGGAGATAATAAATGGCACAAAGATTAATAGAGAACTAATGAAGGTATGATAATTTATCAGTAACTTCTATCTAGTCGAGGTTTTGCAGAAGATACTGAAGGATGCGTTTTATTCCAGAAATGCATGCAAAAATGAAGAGAAAGTGAAGCTGAGAAGTGGATTACTTGATACAGTTGAGTAAAGTTTTACTCTAAGGCATAAATACTTTTGTTTCAAAATGCATGGAACTGATAATATATTTTCCCTTACAAAAATAGGTTTGCAGCTATCACGATAATCCATATAAAAAATCAGTCTTATAATGCGCTTTTGGGCAACAAATATTCTATTGAGATATCTACCACATCCCCATGACATATTTAAGGAAATATGCGGATATGCCATTGCAAAATATATACTTAGGAGATTTTTTTATCTACAAGCAATTTCATCTGCTTAATCACGAAGAATGCTGCATTAAGTTTCTTGCAAACCCCATCAATATGTAGATCCCAATTTAAAGATTCATCTAATATGGTTCCTAGAAATTTAACATCATGTGACATCGCTATTCAATCAGTAATATCAACTCCATCTGGAATGTTAATTTTTCTGTTATTATTTGCATATTAATACATTTACTTTGATTTTGGACAGGAGTAGTCAAAATGTAGTTACAATTATCATAGTTGATATCACACGAGAAACAACTGTTGATGTGAAATGAATAGAATTTTGTTATGAAGAAGCGTCTCAAGAGGGAAGAGTATGCTGCTACTGACAAGGAATTTAACCCAGTTCTTCACACAAGCGCATTTACCAACTACTATATAAGAGTCAACAAGTAGAATGACAGCTGAATCACATCTCCAATTCAATCCTTCGTGTTGTTAGTGTGAAAAAGATAAAATTTGGTAATTATGATGAACTTTTCAATTGAACTCCATGCATCCAAAAAATTATTTATTACATTCTAGAATCACTTACATATAGGAGCATCATCCGGATTTTGTAAAATAAATTTCAATTGAGCATTTCTTTCATTTATGTCTACAGAGCGCAAATTTACTTTCTCATATTTATATAACCGACGATATAAGTTTCCTTTTATGGCTGGCAATAGGAGTGTTCATATACCACGCTTTTACTTCCAGGAGTGGTGTATAAATGTTTCTATTAACTTACAATCTGACTTTTTAAAGATGACCAGCCATTATTTTTCTGTTTGTTGTTCTGTAATTATCATTACGGAAATAAGACAGCATCATTTTACTTAAATAATGGTTTTAATTTTTAGTTTTTCAAAACATATTTGTTTACTACATACACTATATAAATACGCTTTCATCAGTGGGTATATTTGTGAATGAAATTCAATCTACCATGGTCTAACTTTCGACTGTGTTGCATGTGTCAGAATCCACGTATTTTTTGGTTTTTTTACCATAGACATTTGTTTATGTCTGGGATGTGTTTTGCAAAGAACGTACATACGCTCTTCTCTTCTGACAAAAAAGCAGTCTTTACATCTTCTATGAACTTTTCCATGAACCTTAAAACCGCAATTTGGTACGATGCTTGATAGAACCGGGACTAGTAGTGCATTCTGGTAAGAAGTTGGTTTACAAAGATGATGGAATGACGAGGAAAAATTTGAAATTATCGTGCTCGAAGCTTTACTCAAAACTGAAAACATTTCAAAATACTTGTGTGCCGTCACCTGTAAGCAAAAGTAATAAGAGGTATTTTTTTATATTTATTGAAGTATCTACCTATGTTAGCCTCTAATCCTTTTTTTTTATATTTTATTGGATTTCAAAATTATTTAAAATATTTTCAGGTTCACATTTACGAAGTTCTTCTTATATTTATAGTTTTTTAGTATATGGCCTCAGCTGCTAAGAGTCAAAAGACCTATTGTTGAATAACTCGTCAATTGCAAAGTTTGCGTAGGTGACGTCCCAGTGAACGATTCCTGAGAAATTGGCATTCTTGATATATTCGTAGATATGCGATTTGACTGTAAATCGAACAAAGGCCAACTTCAAAACTGCAGAATCATTGTGGCTTTAAAAATAATGATCAGCTGAGTATATAAATGTGCTGAGAGAATTTTATATTATATCATAAGTTAGACAGATTGACGATGAGAACAGAGAATATTTGACAATGCCTTCAGTTGTTAGTTGTTCTGCGCTTCCGTACTAAGAAAGTGCCACATATTCTCATTATCTGTTTCTTGGAATTTATGACTGTGAATCTCGAAACTTCGACTTTCAATTCGTTATTTCGAAATTGCAACTTCAATTTCGAAATTTCGACTCAAGTCTCGTAATTTCTGGTTGGAAGTCGTAATTTCGAATTATAAAATTGTAATTTCGAGTTTAAAGTCAAAATTTCAAGATTAAAGTCGAAATTTCGCGATCAAAGTGGGAATTTCGAGATTGAAGTCGAAATTTTGAAATCAAAAACGAAGCGGCCCACAATATTCAACAAAACTGAAAATTTTCAAAAACAACATTAAAATTACAAACAGAAAAGCAGGTAATTAGGAACTTTATTCTCCAGGTGGCGCGTTCGATTTTCAATTGCAAAAAAACCTCTGGAGCCCAATTCTCGACATCATGGAATATTATATTCATACGGTTTTATATTCCCACACGAAAACTCGCATGGCATTATCGAGTGCAAATAGAATAGGTATTCCCATTGGAGAAAAAATTACGTATGTCGACTCTGCCCCACGGTCTGACAGTCTGCTAACATTGGCTTGGAACATGTTATGACAGAGGCGTCCTGATATAATTATACCAATCGTTAGGGAAATAAGGAATTCCCCAATTTGGAGGTGATCCACAGAACTATATTATAGTTCTGTGAGGTAATCAGATGAAGGTTGGGAAATTAAATGTATTGAAAAATTTTTGGGAATTCGGGATTTTCTGATTCCCATAATTCATAGATGCTATTTGAAACTATGCCGTCAGATTAACCTTGTTTGTGGGGCTCGTAGACCTTCAAGTTTTCATGTTATATTTTGTGTACTGTCAGTATTTACCCTAGTCCGTGGTAATTAGTCCGTGGTAATTGGTGTCTCATCATCTATTCCATTTCGTTTTTTCGTGTTCATGTTATTATCTTTGACCTTTCGAAATTTTAAATATTCTTTCGTCAAATTTCAAAAGTGCTAAGCTAATGTTGAAAACTACGGAATTGAGAGGAATGAAGATAAACATAGTGCAAATTGAATAAAAAATATATTCAATTATCTAGTAGTGATTAGAATGAGATCATCTTTCTTAGAACGAATTTTTTTGTTCATTTCTTAGTAGTTTTTCAATGACAAAACACACATTTTCCGAACTAATAGTTGGGGAATTCTAGACAATTTAATTGTGAAACTGAAGAATTTGCAAAATTTCTATTGACTGTAGCACCGTATAGAAGTAACACACTTCTATACGGTGACCATAGTGACACTTGACACTCCCGATTTGTAAATTGACAGTTTTGACGTATGAGTGAAGTGAAATGGATTGTTGTGCTTGTACCAAAATGTTTACCATTTTTGCCAGTTTAAATTCCATTTAAATTCTTTCGCGAATTATTATAAATCGAATTCTTCGTAATTATGGCTTTTACTAAAACAGTCTTTATCTTTCTGACGATTCAATCCATCAATAAAGGTTATAATTCAATGTTTTTCATATGCAAACAATTTGGATATGTTCAACCCTCTTGAATTTTGCAAAATATAGATATGAAATATGATCAATTCATTTTCAGTTTTATTTCTGATTTTAAGATTCTTCTGATGTATTTCTTTTCAGGTTTTGGGGAGAGAACCAAAGACCAAATGTATGACAATATTGATGGCTCATCAGGTTGCTATAGAAGATTGAATGCAACACATCAAATAGGGTGTTCTTGTAAATAATTTGCTTATTGTTGTGGATTGAAATAATTATATTGAATTTTAGCAAAGAGAGGTGGTTCCACAGGAGTAATACATGTATGTGAAACATTGGATGACTTAAATCACATTCTGTATAATGGAACAGCTCCTCCTTATATACCAGTAATGCCAGCTAGATTATTTACTATGAAGATAGTACAAAAATTGATTAACAGTAAAAAAGTATCAGGGCTAGTATTACACCTGAGTAATGACACAATCAAATCTTTAGATCATTTCTCTCATGAATATCAATGCCCTAATCCCCTTTCCAGTATTGCAGATACTTGTAGTAGTAAAGGTTCAATTTGGAATCCATATGGTACAGGCCTACTATATGCAGATATACCCTTCCCAATATTCTACTTGGAAAATGAGGATGAAGTTATGAAAATTAAGAAATGTTTTGAAAAGTTCAACAATTTCTCCTATAATACTCAAGTTGATAGATCCCTATGCTCCTTAGAATTGAAAGCATTTATGTATGCAACTACAAATACACAAACTTGTAGAAGGTTCGTAGTATCATGTTAGTACATTTTTTAAATTTCAATGAGTGTATGTGTCATAGTGATGATCGGAACTTCTTTGTCGGAATTCTCACTATCCACTAACTCAATTTGCCATCAGCCTCTTTCTAATTTTTGCACTTCCCTACAGAAAACAATTCGAAGACATTTGACACTAATGGACATTTTAAATTATTTAAATATATTTGTTGAATGTGCCAAATGTTTTGCAATGAAGGGTTTCTAGTTCACCTCCATATTAAGAGCGAGGAACTTTCAGAGGAAAGAAAACATATTTCGTAAAAAAAAAATTCAGAAAGATATGTAGATCATGCACAAAAGAAAACATCTATTTGAAATAACTTTTGATTACCTATGTACATATTCATGATATAATTCAAACAAATTTATTACAGAAACATTACATAAAGTTATTTATGGCATCTATCAGAAAACAACTACTCCCCTGGCTAATACCACAAAAGGCGCTGGTTTATATCCGACAGGTGTCGGTGCAGAATTCTTCACTGAAGTTATTCCTGCATATGCTGTTGGCAATACAACTGCTGCAATAGATTTTCAAGCCAGGGGAGTAGTTGTTTTCTGATAGGTGTCAGTCCATTAACCTATAGTGTAGGGACTGACCTGAACGAATTGTTCTTTTAGATGATTTGATTTATAGCCAGTCTTCAAGTATGCCCACTGACTATATGTCGAGAGAAATCCATTTTTTATGGTTCCAACCTCATATACACCTTAGGCGCCTCCCTCATATTACTATAATAATATTTCAATAGAAAATATAGTCCAATTTATTATTCAAACTAATATATCGATGTTTGTTGAAAATGGTTTGAATTTTTACTATTGTTTTGGTTATTACTGGAGTTTTTTCCCAACACCAAACCGTTATTTCAACACCTCGACATGTGTTTCGATCATCACGTGATAATCTTCAAGAGGAAGGTCAGTTTGATCTGCAGATTATCACTTGGTGATCGAAACACATGTTGAGGTGTTAAAATAACGGTTTGGTGTTGGGAAAAAACTCCAGTAATATTCATTACTACACCAAAGATTCCAAACAGTGCATCACTAGTGTTTTGGTGCAAAATTAATATTTCACTCTGTATGTATGTCCATAATAACTATCAGTATGATTTAATGACAAGAAAGGTCAGTTTGATCTGCAGATTATCACTTGGTGATCGGTGTTGGGAAAAAACTCCAGTAATATTCATTACTACACCAAAGGTTCCAAACAGTGCATCACTAGTGTTTTGGTGCAAAATTGATATTTCACTCTGTATGTATGTCCATAATATCTATCAGTATGATTTAATGACAAGAAATAATTGACTAAATTATTTAATGCTAAATAATTAAATAATACAAATTTACTCTTAATGAGGCCAGATCCATAAAAAACTGGATTTTTAAAATGTTGTTATGTAGGTGGCTGTGATTTCAAATCTGAATATTGTTTTCATATTTAAAACAAGTTTTCTAAATAAACTTTATTAATAATGTCGAAAATAAGGGTAGTTAATTCCTGATCAAAATTTCTATTTTTTGTTCTCTCCTGTACACCGTTCGGAAATTTAGAATTTTGACATCTCATATCCAAGTTTCACGCAATGCACCAATATGAACTGTGTTTCGGGTTTTTATCTGTGTTCTGTGTTTTTATCCTCACTGGGATTAATTTCATGACGTTTCGACAAAAGTTCCATTCGCCATCTACTGGTGATGTTTATTTGGTGTTTGGAATTACACTGACCTTACTCAAATCTACTTCTTACTATATAGATATAGATGTTGATGTTTACCTGAGTTTTCCTCTTCTTGCTTCACCTTTTCTCTCCGCAAAGAGACTTTGCCGTCGTAAAATTAATCCCATTGAGGATTAAAACGCAACCCGGATCAAAACCCGAAAAACAGTTTGGTTGTCAATCCATACAATTTCTATGACAATTTTCTAGCATGATACGTGCAATGCTGGCTACATGCATCTCTCTTTTTTTTGTTTAAGATGGTCGATATCAGTACTAGGTGTGGAACGAACTTTATCCTGTATGTTACAAATATTTGTTGAATAAATAGTAAAAATTCAGATTTCAAGTTATCAGTATTTGCGAATTATCATTTTTTACTTTGATGTTGATTAACGGAGGGAGTCAGGCTGTATATACAGTTAATATCTCGTTATTAACCCTTAATCTTGTATAATATGCTTTCATTTCAAATTTTAGCCATAATTGAAAACATTTTTTCAGGCGTTCCAATATAGCTTCTAATATGAATCCGATGAAATTTTGTGATCCTCTGGGTGACAGCAATATATGGGCCAGTCTACATCCACTGGTTGAAGGTCCCAAAAGAAATGAAACCAAACCGATTAGAGATACTAGTTATATTGTAGTTGCTGCTAGAATGGATACCACTTCAATGTTTGATAGAACTTCAGGTGCTAATAGCCCCATTACGGGAATTGTTACCTTATTAACAATAGCAAAGTATCTTAAGCAAATTCTTGGAGTGAATGAAACAAGAGAAGGTAATCATATATACAGTTCCCTTGTACCAATGAGTTGTAAAAAACTTTCCGGTCCATGAATCTCATTTGAAGAATGATACAATTTTCTACAGGAAAAAGAAACATTTTGTTCATGCTCTTCAATGGTGAAACATATGACTACATCGGATCACAAAGAATGTTGTATGATATGCTTAGAGGAGATTTTCCAATACGAGGAGTTTCAGAAGCCAATGATATCTTGCCTATAATTCATCCAGAAAATATAAGCCTATATATTGAACTCAGTCAGATGGGCAATACTAACAATGATCTTTTCGTCCATTATTTAGTAGACAATGAGGAGGTATGAATGAAATAATTTTAAAGTTTTTGGATTATGCTCTTGAAACATAAACCAATATGATGAACACTGAAGTCCATAATTAATAATATTATGATTTTGTTGTCTATTGGTTCACTTTCACATTTTCATTTAACAATTTACATTTTTTTTATTTTTTCAGATCAATGAGTTTTATAACAAACTCCAAACAAATTCACGAGTGGTTAAGTTTCAAAATGTTTCAACAAGTTTACCTCCAGCATCCCTTCATACTTTTTTGAAAAATATTTCTACTTTTCCTGGACTCATTATATCTGATCACAAATCAAGTTATACGAATCATTTTTATAATTCCATCTTTGATAACTCTACCAATATTCAATATCAATATTATAATGCTTCAGATGATGATAGTCAACAAATACCAAATGACAGTTTACAGTACTTTATTGCAAACGTATCTGAAATTATAGGAAACAGTATATTTGAAGAAATAACGAAAAAGAAGTACGATGGAAATGGGACAGTTGATGTTACTTTGGTAAGTAATATTGAGAATGAATTTTACAAGTACATACAATACATCACATTTCAAGAGCCTTTGTTTCATATTTAAGCATAAAATTCACAATGTTCACCATCCAAAGAACTCAGCAGGAATATTGATATCACTATACTATAGACAAACAATGGCAACGCTACCGTTGTTATGGACATAAAGGCCACAAAGGCATATAAAAAAATCAATCAAGATCACACAACTATTTGGAGAAAACCACCAAAAAAAAATAAAAGTCACGAAAAAGTGCCAAAACCCAGAAATTAATTATATCTAAAGAAAAGTCCAGTTGATGCTCCAAGTTATATGGGTTACCAAAGATTCACAAACAAAACATCTCGAAGACCCATCGTCTGTGCATGTTGATCTCCATTACAGCAACTTGAAAGGTATCTTGCCAACATAATGCAACCACTAATACAACATTCGCAATCATACAACATTGTAACAATAAATGAAGCTTTAGACCCAATAGTAATGAACGAGGGCCTATCAGATCACGTAATCGAAGTCTTAGACCACCGCTTGAAAAACACACATTTCAGCTTCAACTACAGACTTTATAGACAGACAGAAGGTCATCCCCAACCTATTCATGAGTTATTTTGAAACCAAAGATTTGAACAACAGCCCGAAGAAACCCAAAATATGGTTGAGATATGTTGTGGACATTTTCATCATTCATTTCCATGGACATGCGGCATCACATCATCAGCTAACACCCTTAAAACCAGATCCTAACGGCGACAAAGACATGAAAGAACAATAAATGAAAAATATACAAAAAGCTCTTCAGCAGAATAGATATGAAAATCATACAATTCATAAAGCAACACACCAAAGAAAGAAAGAAAACAAGGAAAAATAAAGCCATCCTGCAATATGTCAAAGGAGTTACAGATAAAATAGAATGAATTCTAAAACGACACATTTCACAAACCTACGAAAACCATAAAAAATTCTTTGAACAACCCAAAAGACAAAGTCAACCTAGAAATCTAAGGCATTTATAAGATCACATGAAGATATTGCATTGGAGAATACGTTGGCCAAACAAATAGGTGAATATCAGTCAGATTAGAGGAACAGTATCACTTTGCAACAACTGAACAATCTCAGGCCTATACAAACACCACCTTGATACAGGTCACAACATCGACTTCAAAAGCTACTAACAGATCGCAAGTATACATCACCAAATAACCAGAATTGGGATGCCATCAAAATTGAGTAGATCGGCAGTCTATACGAGAGATGACGAACACTATCTCTCAGCTGCATGGAAAACCATTATTCCAAAACTAAGGCCAGTACACCACCAACAGCGAACGCAAAACCCAGTCGACCAATCAGAACATTCCCATCACCATTACAGCCTATGGTAGCATATAAATGGACAAACATTGAAAAGTACGACTTTATTTTTAAGTTCAGCTACCAAGCATAGCACATGAATATGGCAAGTGCGATTTTGCCAAAACGTCATAATAGTATAAAAGACAGGTTTCCCCATCATCTCGTTCAGAATTTAAATATAACCTCTGACTGAAGATACATCAGTCCTTTTTTAATATCCGAGATGGAAGCACATCTGAAGAAGCTGATTATAAAAAGTAAAAGATATTTTGATATTTAACACAGTTTCTGCTGCCACAGTATTTGTTAAAATTGGAAAAAAATAGATTGTGATATATACACGTATGCTTCAGATACCACAAAACCCATGTCTATTAGGCAGATAGAGGTTTCTATACCTACACACCTGGAAAAAGAAACTCTCATTTTCTAAATGTGCATAAATAGACTACTGATACAAAATCTCACGATACACGATAATAAATATTTCATCACAGCGCACATAGGAAATGTCGATCACAAATAGCGTTGCCATATCCCTACCTCTCAACATCTTTATGCCTACAAATCAAGCTGTATACTTAATCTTTCACAATATTTGACATTGGCCACATATTAGTAACAAGCAGTATTTAAAAAATAAAGATGAGATGATGTAGATGCTTCGTTTTTTCAAGGTGGATGAATTACTTCACTGTTATCTGGAGGATCCCAATTGCAAAGTACATCAAGCTTTGAGGAAAGGTGGGGTAAGTGTTAGAAAATGTATTTTCAACAACATAATCATATAATTTCCGTACAGGTTGTAATCCGACTTGGGTCCCCTTCAAATTTCAAACTTTAAATACATACCTTCATTTGTGTAGCAATTTTTTGGTCTATCCGGTTCATATAATGTAGTGAAATTCAAGCTTTTTCAATATTTCCAGAGTTCAAATCATAAAATATATGATTTTTTTATCATGGCCCTGTTAATCAATCGAATTAAGACAATTTTTTTCTCTTTTTGTACCACTACTTCAACAAATACCCGAAATATATTAGAACAAACCTGTAATATTTCCATTGAGATTTGCGACCAAATATCTGGCTGTAAGGTTGGCCGAATATCTGGTATCCAGATAAACTGCTATCCGTTTCATCTCTACTTTCAACATATCAATGGTGTTAAATTGAACCACAAATGTATTATTGCTCTCAACTGTTCTTGAAAGGCAAACCAAGTAAGAGGGTAGCTTTAGAGTTATTGCTCTTATATCTCAAGTCTGTATTAATATATGTCAGGTTGATTTATACATCATTTTTAAACCGTGAAATTAGGACCAGTGACATAAAACAACATGACCTTTCGTTTCTGTTGATAATAATTTGTATTCATTTTAAAAATGATGAATAAAAATTAACAATTAAATACAGGTCTTTATTTAAAATTTCAAAATTAATGATGATGGGTATGAATACTCCGTATCATAATTCTATGATAATATTCTGATAGGACAATGAAAGATGCTACAGCAAAGTGTAAATAGATTTTGAATATTTATGCAAATAACGAAGATACTGCAAGAATAATATTCGTTTTTTTTGTTCATCTCCCATACCAAAAAAGTAAGAGTAACTTTGCCACAATTCAACTTACTCTCTATCTCATACCTATTATGAAATACCCATGCATCCTTCTATATGTCTAACGTCTAATTCATAGCTGTACTCTTTAATAAGTTATAGTTGAATAAACTGACTTTATTGACTGTGGATTCATAAAACCACTTCTAACAGAATCAGTTCAATTGTTTGTTGTTTCTCGTGTTTATTCCATGAAACAAATGTTTTTCATTGATTCTTGCAATTCTTACAGAAATTTTCAAACGGTCCTTTGAATCTATATGTTGGTGTAGACCACGTCATAAATTATGCCACCACAGTGACTGCACTTACTTTGGGGTGGTTTACCGGAGACATCGTGGGAGATGGAAATGTGAATTGCACAAATCATCCTAGAAACTATGTGAGTGGAAACATGTATGGGTAGTTCTTTTTTTTTTAACAAACATCGTAATCGTATATTGTTCATAGGTAATTTTCCATACTTAATTAGATAGAGATAAATCATATTTGTATACCATACATTCTCTACAATTACGCTCAAAAGTAATTGTCCAGAATAGTGTTCAAAATGGTATGTTTTAAAAACTATAAAATAGTGTATTTTTGAAATCTATGTTTTCTAGGCATTCAAATTTTATAATATGTCAAAGAGTATCCAACAACTGAATACAACGAAGTGTTATAAAATTACAATGAATACAACTGAGGCTATCAGTCCGGCCTTCCTTATTCCAGGTAAGCCCAGTGTTTATTATTGAATTCAGTCTGACTCAATCTATATATAATGTTATAAGATAGGCCATGTTCAAGGAATAACATCTTTTTTGAGTAGCGTTTTCATGAATGGAATTATTTAGCCGAATGACTCAACTGAGAAGGTTTTGTAGGTCTCAAGAGAATTTAATTCTTATTTACCCTGGAATTACCAATTTTAAAATTAACAGATTTCAATGTATCATCATTGACAAATTACAGTTGAAAATTATATAAATTAAAGAGTTTTTCAAAAATATTCATGATAAACAATATTTACATAGCTATTTTTATTAATGATTTTCGTAACAAATTTCAAATTAGCCAGCAGTTAAACGAATAGTAGCATTTATGTCTCAAGTAAGAAATGACTGAACTTCTAAATTTCTTGAAGACTGTGATATTTTTAAGTTCCTTCGGTAGAGAACTATATGCTTTTATTGCCTGATAGTAAGCTCCTTTCTCATAATATGTTGAGTAATGGCTGGGAATAGCTAGTTCGTTACATTGTCTGGTGTTAATATGCATATTATTCGAATATTGACAACTATTTCTGGGAAACAGGTATGGATATTTTTTTACGAAACAGAAAAGACTTAAGAGCAAAAGTTGTAGATCTTTGTTTAAGTTTTCATGCTGCAGTCAGCACAAAAAATATAATTACTTTTTCATGCTTTGTGAATAATTTGTTACATTTTCATTCAATATAGTACCTATTATATATACTTTAATTCCACTTCCAGATTATGATTGGTCTTCTGGAGAATTTAGCTCATGGACTGAATCCACGTGGGCCGAAATGAACGTGAGAATGTTTCTGAAACCCTCGGCTGCTCACGAAAAAATGACAATAGCTATAGGATGTATATCCATGATATTTTCATTCGTCATAGTGTATTTTGTCAAGTCAAGATCTCTTATTTTATTTACACCTCTTTCAGCTACTGAATCACCCACAAATTGCTAATACATTTATATAACCATTGAAAATGATTCATTTGAAAGAAAAAGAGCTCAATGTTTTAATTAAACAGCAATTAGTACATAAAATCATTGAATTACCATATAATATCAGTTACACTCATCTTCCTGATCATGTGTTATACGTCACAAATTTTATATTGTGATATATTTCTAACTTAGTTTTCCATTCATTGTTAATTTAGTATTTACCATTTTTCTTTATTTATTGTAAAGTTTGCATGAAACGAGTATGCAGTAGATTAATTTTAATTTGTAAACGATAAAATAAAATCAATTAAATAACAATTCCCTGTTTTACATGTTCATGACACCTTGAGTAGTTGTCATCATTTTGTTAAGGATTCACCATTGTAACAAATTATTCATAATTCTGGTACGTTTAGCACCACAGGCACCACATTTTTTCAAATAAAAAAGTCTTATAATACATAACCATTGGAGGTTTCTTCAATCTGAAAGTGTTTTGATGTTAATATCCTGACTCCTAAGTATAAAAATAATTTATTTATATGTTATAAAAATGAATACATTTTCCCGAATGCATAAAGTACTATCTATCATAAAATATATGATTTTTTTATCATGGCCCTGTTAATCAATCGAATGAAGACAATTTTTTTCTCTTTTTGTACCACTACTTCAACAAATACCCGAAATATATTAGAACAAACCTGTAATATTTCCATTGAGATTTGCGACCAAATATCTGGCTGTAAGGTTGGCCGAATATCTGGTATCCAGATAAACTGCTATCCGTTTCATCTCTACTTTCAACATATCAATGGTGTTAAATTGAACCACAAATGTATTATTGCTCTCAACTGTTCTTGAAAGGCAAACCAAGTAAGAGGGTAGCTTTAGAGTTATTGCTCTTATATCTCAAGTCTGTATTAATATATGTCAGGTTGATTTATACATCATTTTTAAACCGTGAAATTAGGACCAGTGACATAAAACAACATGACCTTTCGTTTCTGTTGATAATAATTTGTATTCATTTTAAAAATGATGAATAAAAATTAACAATTAAATACAGGTCTTTATTTAAAATTTCAAAATTAATGATGATGGGTATGAATACTCCGTATCATAATTCTATGATAATATTCTGATAGGACAATGAAAGATGCTACAGCAAAGTGTAAATAGATTTTGAATATTTATGCAAATAACGAAGATACTGCAAGAATAATATTCGTTTTTTTTGTTCATCTCCCATACCAAAAAAGTAAGAGTAACTTTGCCACAATTCAACTTACTCTCTATCTCATACCTATTATGAAATACCCATGCATCCTTCTATATGTCTAACGTCTAATTCATAGCTGTACTCTTTAATAAGTTATAGTTGAATAAACTGACTTTATTGACTGTGGATTCATAAAACCACTTCTAACAGAATCAGTTCAATTGTTTGTTGTTTCTCGTGTTTATTCCATGAAACAAATGTTTTTCATTGATTCTTGCAATTCTTACAGAAATTTTCAAACGGTCCTTTGAATCTATATGTTGGTGTAGACCACGTCATAAATTATGCCACCACAGTGACTGCACTTACTTTGGGGTGGTTTACCGGAGACATCGTGGGAGATGGAAATGTGAATTGCACAAATCATCCTAGAAACTATGTGAGTGGAAACATGTATGGGTAGTTCTTTTTTTTTTAACAAACATCGTAATCGTATATTGTTCATAGGTAATTTTCCATACTTAATTAGATAGAGATAAATCATATTTGTATACCATACATTCTCTACAATTACGCTCAAAAGTAATTGTCCAGAATAGTGTTCAAAATGGTATGTTTTAAAAACTATAAAATAGTGTATTTTTGAAATCTATGTTTTCTAGGCATTCAAATTTTATAATATGTCAAAGAGTATCCAACAACTGAATACAACGAAGTGTTATAAAATTACAATGAATACAACTGAGGCTATCAGTCCGGCCTTCCTTATTCCAGGTAAGCCCAGTGTTTATTATTGAATTCAGTCTGACTCAATCTATATATAATGTTATAAGATAGGCCATGTTCAAGGAATAACATCTTTTTTGAGTAGCGTTTTCATGAATGGAATTATTTAGCCGAATGACTCAACTGAGAAGGTTTTGTAGGTCTCAAGTGGACTGAAAAAGTAGCGATCCAAGACCTAACTGATCATTTTCTCACTAGAAGGTGAAAAATACTTACGTATTAAGGTCATGATATCATGCAATTATGTTAACATTATTCAAATTTCATGTTGTTAATCGTTCGCCAGCTGATTACGAATCGGCAAACATCTTTGAAAAATCCTTAAGGAGATAAACATTTACAGATCCGTCGGGTTATCAGTCTGAGATAAATTTCGACAGACTAGTCATGATATAGGATCGGATATCGAACTCTATGGACCTACTAGCAAAACCAGTTTTGTATGGAATTTTATCACTTTTCGTTTATAAACCACATATAGTTTAACAGTTACCTAAAACATGTTGTGATTCAATCCAGGTAAGATTTTATTTTCAGTTTTATATTGTTGATTCATAATTAATTATTCATTCGGCGTAAACATTTTCAATACATACGAGGGCAAATTGGTAAGTGATAAAGATTTGAATAGGTATATTTGCTGGATCACTATCTGAATTGAGCTGGGGGTGGTTTTAATTCAGATTGGTTCTAGACAGTACTTTCGGTGCAAAATCCTCGGTTGTGATTGACATCGCCTTCCATTGGTTCTCACTTCTCACATTTCTGAAGATTTCAGACGAAAATCGATTTTGAAACGAATATATCCCTTATATCAGATAATGTCAAGCCCAGAAAAATGTTAAGGAAACACTTTTGCGCCATTCAATTTAGTATGATCGTTTGTAACCTAGTTAAGATTTGTCACTAGATGGATCGACAAAATCATGTATTATAAGTTACCAGGGGTAGAATTCTCTAAACACAAATATAATGTGACACAAACGAAAGAGCTTATTCTAGTGAAATTTTCACTATACAATAGCTTGATCAAGCGTGGTACGTATAGACTATCCACATTATAGAAATAGCCAAGGCCATTTCCCGGAGTGCATTTACATTGATCAGGTATCTCACCCTGGATGCCTAGAATTCAATAGACGCTGCAACTCTACCCAAGCTTGCCTCATATTTTGAATATGAGTTCATTCTAGTTTTATTTCAGTTATAATTGTACCTTTAGATTTGACATTGCTAGTAATACTTATACAGGGTGATTCAAAAGTACTTTGACAAACTTCAGGAGGTGATTCCTCACAATATTCTAATATGAATTGTTTGAATAAATAAATGTCCGGAAACGCTTCGTTTCCAAGATACAGGATGTTGAAGTTTAATTTTTATTTTCGTTTTTTTCAAATAACTTTTGAAATACTGAACTTAATTAAACGAAACTTGGTAATAGGAGGTTTTTGAGGTGTCGAATTCGAACCTGATGTTCTTATTGCTCTTACTCGTAGGGGGCGCCACCTACACGTCTTTTTCTTTTTTAAAGATTCATAACTTTTTTGGGCGTACTTCTAGCACATTTTTCAGTAAAAAAATCGATT